ATCCATGCCTCATACGCAATGGGACTTTATCTCGATCCCTAATTAGAGATAAGCCTACGCCTAATACGCGTTGCCGGTTAGTCTTTTCCCATGAAAATGATAAAGTCTATGTATTCAAAATCATAGCATCAAGTCTAAGAGGATTCATTCTCTTAGCACAACGTTACATGTGGAACGGACTCAGACAATCCACATGCTAGCCCGACTCAAACGGTAGTCGGTAAAGGCTTATCAAATCCGTTGATGGCTGAGGGTTTGCCAAAAATCCTACGCACATTTGCAGGCCCATCAGCTTAATAGATGTGAGTCGAGACTTAAAACAGATGCGCCAAAGACAAGTCTCAAAGACTTAGTCAAAAAATGCACGGAAAACCACTTCCATGTCTTAAGTCAAAACGCCGAGGTCACACCCGCATTCCAAATTCAACATGCAAGGGTGAAACCCGCATCTCAAGTTCAAAATGCAGGGTCCACCCCACATTCCAGAAGCAGGATTATGGCGCATACTGTAGGCTGTCTAAAAATCACAATAGATAGTTGATCCCCCATCAAACACCGATGATGGAAGTTACAATCTGACGACTTCCAGAAGGCTACAATTTAAAGACTTTCACATAGAAAGCTACAATCTAACGACCTTCACGACAACTGATGAAAGCTCTAATTCAACAGCATTCACGATCAACATCGGGAGTTACAAACTGACGACTCTCATATTTTCAAGGAGCCAAGACGAAGATTACAAGAGGACGATCTGTGCAAAGCTCTAGCAAAAGAGACTACAAATTGACGGTCTCTTCATATTAGAATGCAGATATCTCTCAAACCGTAAGGAATTTGGCGAAACAGAGGAAGCGAATCGAAGCCTTTGGCTTGGTTTGGATGGCCCCGTCTCGTCGAGATAGCCGATTTTCATATATAATTCGTCCAATTCCGACTTACGGTTTGAAAGTTATGACCTGTTCTTCGCACCAAGTTATGTTCTGAAGTCCGTCTGCAAGACTGGACTTCGTCAGAACATTGAACTTAGTCTGAAGCTCGCCAAGCCCGCCTAAGAGGGAGATTCGGTCAAGGGCTTTTGGGAGCTGAGACTTGGCAGCAAAGAGGGAATTTCTTAGAGATCGGTTCAGGCTAACTGTGCGTTTTCAGGCCAACTGTGCGTTTACAGGCTCAACTGTGCGTTTTCAGCCTGAATCAAGCCAACTGTGCGTTTTCAGGCTCAACTGTGCGTTTTCAGCCTGAAACAAGCCAACTATGCGTTTACAGGCTCAACTATGCGTTTACAGCCTGAAACAGGTCAACTGTGCGTTTACAGGCTCAACTATGCGTTTTTAGCCTGAAACCGGCCAACTGTGCGTTTGCATGCTCAACTGTGCGTTTTCAGCCTGAAACAGGCCAACTGTGCGTTTTCAGGCTCAACTGTGCGTTTTCAGCCTGAAACAGGCCAACTGTGCGTTTACAGGCTCAACTGTGCGTTTTCAGCATGAAACAGGCCAACTGTGCATTTTCAGGCCAACTATGCGTTTTCAGGCCAACTGTGTGTTTTCAGGCTCAACTGTGCGTTTTCAGCCTGAAACAGGCCAACTGTGCGTTTACAGGCTCAACGGTGCGTTTACAGCCTGAAACAGGCCAACTGTGCGTTTACAGGCTCAACCGTGCGTTTACAGCCTGAAACAGGCCAACTATGCGTTTACAGGCTCAACTATGCGTTTCCAGCCTGAAACAGGCCAACTGTGCGTTTTCAGGCTCAACTGTGCGTTTTCAGCCTGAAACAGGCCAACTGTGCGTTTACAGGCTCAACTGTGCGTTTTCAGCCTGAAACAGGCCAACTGTGCGTTTTCAGGCCAACTGTGCGTTTTCCAGCCTGAAACAGGCCAACTGTGCGTTTACAGGCTCAACTGTGCGTTTTCAGCCTGAAACAGGCCAACTGTGCGTTTTCAGGCCAACTGTGCATTTTCAGCCTAAAACGTCCCAACTGTGCGTTTACAGGCTCAACTGTGCGTTTTCAGCCTAAAACGTCCCAACTGTGCGTTTTCAGGCCAACTGTGCGTTTTCAGCCTAAAACGTCCCAACTGTGCGTTTACAGACTCAACTGTGCGTTTTCAGTCTAAAACGTCCCAACTGTGCGTTTTCAGGCCAACTATGCGTTTTCAGGCCAACTGTGCATTTTCAGGCCCAACTCTGCGTTTCAGGTCCAGAAACGCACAGTTCGGGCCCAGAACGCTGTTTTCAGCGTTTGACTCGTTCAAGCACGATTTGAACGGTTCCAGAACCGTTTTCTCCCCAAGATTTTAGGGGATCACTACCCAATCATGGAGAGATTTATGGGGGGCAGTTACACCCTATTAAACCCTCATTAAGGAGAGATTTAAGGGGGCGGTTACACCCCTAAATCCCCTATAAATAGTGGGAAACTCAACTGAGTTCAGATCCTTCTTTTTTGGGCAGCAAAGAAGAGATCTTCGGCTAGCTTCTGATTGGATTTTATCTCATCAACAGAGGGAGATTCGGTTAAGGGCTTTTGGGATCTGAGACTTGGCAGCAAAGGGGGAATTTCTTGGAGATCGGATCATTCTCTAACAGAGATCATCTTCAAGATCGGCAACAGGAGCATTCCCTTGGCTTATAACCGACTTTCGGTTCAAATCAACTCTTTTTCAAGAGTTCAAACTCGTTCAGAGTTATCAACTCGATCAGAGTTCAAAACTTGCTCTGCAAGTTCTTCTAAAACTCATTCAGAGTTATCAACTCGTTAAGAGTTATTTTCAAACTTGCCACGCAAGTTCTCCACAACGTCAAATCGTGAGGAGAAAATCACGTTCCAGTGAATCAAGACGTTCGGATCGTCAACGAGAAGCAAACTCGACGCGAGCATTCGAGGGAGGCATCTCATCGCCACCGTGAAGAACCCAGTTTTAAACAAAGGGGAGAGTCAAATTCGTTCTCCTCTCTTTTGTAATCGGAATCCAAATTGTAATTGATTTTGAGAGGAATACAAGTCAATTTTTCTTTCATTGTCTTTTTACTGCAAATTTCCACCAAACAAAGACCAGCGGACCTTCCATGAGGACGAAATTTTCCTGCTCTTGCGAAGGGAGGAGGATGTGGAGGAGGAAGACATGTACTCCTCATACTTCAGCTGGTCGAACTCGTACTCGACATCTTCTTCAACCGGGATCTTAATTAACGGCTGCGACACGGCAGCCTCAGTAGCGAGGCTGTTGGCTCCTACTGTGGTCGCCAGCGTGTTTGGGGTGAAAATTGTTTTATTCATTGCTAAAGTTATTACAAATTCAGTCGTTTATAATAAGTTTAAAAGGAAAGACTTTTTATAAGATTCCTTACACAATGAAAATAAAAATTACAACTCTCTCTTCAAACAACACACAGCAGATGTTTATCACCTGATGTTTGCGTGAGATCTTTGCATGTGACGGGGTTTATCCGTGGATCGTCGCGGGTCAGATCCGGTTGATTGGAATAAAGGATCGATGCTCTTGCTTCACAAAGGAAACAATCGCAGAAGTAAATAATCTCGACCAAGCGAGATTACTACTATTCTTGAGATCAAAACCAAGTTTGAGATCAAAACCAAGTTTGATCTTAAGGTATGTTGGCACTGACCTCAGATCTTTCGAACAACTCTCTCTTTATGCTGGAATTCGCCAAGATCTGCTAGTCCTCCTCTGAAATTCATGGATTGCACTCTCCAAACCGACAATACCTTGCCCTCTTTGATAGAAGTTTAGATCCCCCATATATAGGATCCTAGGCTTGTATTTATATGCTTCAGTTGCGATGTTTTTGGATAAGAACAAATGATTTGACCTTATCTTTAGTTAATAACAGCCTAACCACGTTTAGGGATGATATCAAAGCAATTAGGAGGCTCTGGAACGAACAAATCCTGAGAAACATCAAAAAACGTGTTTTCGTGAACCAGGGTGCGAGTCAGCTCAATGTGACCCATGGGTGTGTGGGTCACCTTAGGGTGACCCGGCCCTGTGTGGGTCACCTTAGGGTGATTCGCATGATATTTTAGCCTTAACTCTCTCGTCGGATTTCAAAATGAGATAATTCTAGATACGTTGGAAAGATGGTGAGGAGACCTACAACTTTTGTCTTTTGAGCTTTTTCAGATTCAATACGGATCACATTAAAAAAGTATTTTTTTGTTCGGGTCACATTAGGGTGACCCGCACGTGTGCGGGTCACCTTAGGGTGACCCGCGTGATATTTTTGTCTTAACTCTCCCATACGACCTCGGAATGAAGTGATTCAAGATGCGTTGGAAAGCTGATGAATAGAGCTACAACTTTTGTCTTTTGAGATTTTTTGGATTCAAATCTCATCATGGTCAAAATTTTACTTCTTCGTGCGGGTCACTCTGAGCCCTCCTGATTGTATTTGCTTCGTCGTTTCACATGTTTCGACATTTCACGTGCGTTCCTTCGCTTCTTTTTACAGCATCGGATGATCCTTTTTGACTTGGATAATCCTCTCTGTTTCGGATAATAGCGTTCATCGCCTTCTCTCCGTTTCGAACTACGTGCGGGAACCTATATGCAAATTTTAACGCCTACACTGGTATGTCTAATCATGTGCTGACATGTCTAATCATGTGCTGGAATCATGATGAAGGGCACTGGACACAGTTTTTTCAAAAAAAGGCTGCATCACATTAAAAAAATATGAGGGGCTGAGACACATTGAAATTTACATTTTGGGGCCTTAAACAAATTTTCCCTAATAAATTCACCCGAAAACAAAAAATAAAAATAAAACCCTAATCCATCATCCAGATATCAAACGAAAAAAAATGGAGCAGGACTCAACCTCCGCCACGTCATCGCTCATCGCCCCATCGGCTCGGCCCCACATCAACACGTGTCGCCCCATGCTGGCCGCCGCCGCCCGACGGGCACAGTCTCGCGCTCCGCGGATCGGCGGCGATTCACGCTGGAGCGAGCGGACGGCCGACTGGGCCCACTCGCGCCGGCGTGGCCGCTCGACCTCCTCGTGGAACTCGCCGTTCGCCGTCGTCTCCGCCGTTATGATCGCCGTTACCTTGACGGAGAGGCCTAACGTTCCCGTTAGAATTTGGGTGGTGGGGTACGCGGTCCAGTGCGTGGTTCATGTGGTGTTGGTATGGGCCGAGTTTCGCCGGAGGAGGAGGGAGGAGGATGGGGATGAGGGGGGAAGTCGATTGAGTGGGCAATCGAGGTAAATTTCTAGGGTTAGGGTTTGTGTAATTTGTTTTTGGAGTATCAGTGAAATTGAGCGCAGTAGTTCTAATTTTTTTGTTGGTTGAGAAGTACCTCAGTTGAGTTTTGTGAGAAGCTATGCTAATTTTCTTTTTTATGACTGTTGTTAAATTTTTGGAACCTTTTATAAAGATTTGACTGGAGTGCAAGAATGGGGAGATATTGAGAAATGTAAATTAGTGAAGAAAGAAAGAAGGAAAAGGTATTGAGCTAATTATAAGGTTTGCGAGAGTTTATTTTCAATTGTATAGAGTTTTAAGGAGGGATAAAAGAGATATAAAAGATGGTTGAGATGAGAGAAATGAAAGAGTAAAGATTTAGATAATGTTGGATGTACGAATAATGAAATCAAATAGTTTTAATGTAATATGATGAAATAAAGCGAGTTGGGGGAGTTTTCTTCATAAATTGTTTAATGATGACCACGCAGAAGAACAACAACAACGTAATGCATGATAGGAATTATATTTGGTATTGTGCAAAAAATTAGGGTAAATGTACTAAAGGAAATTAAAATGGAAAGTGATTCAAACATGTTGGCATTTCTATCAAAGTTTAGAAATACTTTGGAGATAGAGATTCAGTAGGATTAATTAAGACTATTGATATATACTAAGAAAAGGCCAATGAGCAGAGGACTACACTTTGATGTGATTTAGAAGAATAAAGGAGATATACAAAATTGTTCGAGCATCATGGTATCAAACTTATAACTCACACCAGAATTTTGGGAGAGGATAATTGAACAAAGGCGAAGAAAGGAGAAAAGTGTATCTAAAGCAATTTGGTTTACATCAAAGAGGTTGATTAAAAAAATTAGTATAGCAGAAATGAGAATGTTGCTACGGGTGAGTTGATATACAATAATCGATAATTCGAGAACTGAGGGCTTTCATAGGAACTTAGAGGTGGCCAGTTGAAGATAAAATGAGAGAATCGTTTGAAATGGTCTAGTCATGTGCATTGGAGGCCATTAAATGTATCAATTAGGAGAAGTGGATTTTAAAGAAGGGATAAGTGTCTGACATGTATATTAATGTGATTAAAGATGTGCATGATATAGTAAATACTGTGATGAGAATAATCGAATAAGAAACAAATTGTTTCTTATTACCACAGTTATACACGTTAGATGCACTTACTAGATATGTTCAAGACAAAACCTCATGATGTTTGTTATTTGTTGATTGCATAGTATTAATTAAAGAGAATATAAAAGGGATAATTTCTAAAGTAGGAAAAACAACTCTTAATCCAAAAAATTTAGAATAATAGAACAAAAACATAACACATTTAATATATGTAAACCTATTGGAAAAGGATTGAGTATATAACAGTAAAAATATACCTAAAGACTAAGCATTTTCATTATTTATGATCATTAATTAGTCAAGGGATATAAGGTCGATGATAATGTTGGTCATTGAGTCAAATCAGAATGATTAACGTGGAGGTGTGCTTCTAGAGTGTTGTGTTATTGCAAAATATCTATGAAATTGAGAAAATGCTATACAACAGTTATAAGACCAACAATACTTATGGATCACAATGTTTGTCAATTGAGAAGTAACATGCGCAGATATTGAGTGTAACATAAATGAGAATCTTCTAACCATCTTTTTGCAGCTTCCAAAAATGTAAGGCCTTTTTTGCATGTATTATGTATGATTTCATGATCTCTTGCCTAATAGGATCTTCTTTTATTTACTTGAGAGCGTCAATTTAAAACTAGTTGTGCCTGTGTTGTTTCCTTTTGGCTGCATATTGTTGCCAGCTATTTGCGAGTTTGATATTATTATTTTGATTGGTACGTTGCATTTATTTGTTTGTTCTGATAGAAGCTATTTTCCAGTTTTGCCAGGCGTTGTGATTCGCTTAATACGATGGCATCTTTTGCCTGGTGGATACTTGGATTTTACCTGGTGATCTCTGGTGGTGAAGTTCTCCTCCAGGATGCTCCTAGACTCTATTGGTACGGTCAGTGAATCTGTTTACTGAAAACTTCCCTGTCAGCATGTCTAAGTGGACAACAATATTTTCAACACAGTTGCATGAAATTTTGAATATTTCTAAGATATTATTATTAGAATTTCTTTTCAATTAAATAATGCTGGCTCAAAAAGGATGGTACTATCCTCTGCATGATCAGATCAAACCCCATAACATCAGCCAATAGCCTTCAAGCAACAGCCATCTTAGTTATTTGTCATGAGCTACCAAATGTAGACAAATGTTTCCACAGTTCATTGCAAACACTCGATATGATTTGTCATCACTGTTTCCTGTTGGCTGTCATGACATGTATAAATTGTTGCTCTTTTTCTTAAGGTATTCCAAACTTAAGATTTAATAAATATGTGATTCTGTTTAATCTCTGGCTTACATTGTGCTTCATTGGTCTATGAAATCCCTCGTAACAATTCATATAATTACCTTTTTGTCTGGAACTGTTCCTAGTCTAGGAGGAGTTTGTGGTTTGCTCCATAGGCTCTCAATCTTAACTTGCTTAATTTAAATGAAAGCCATGTATATCTGCTAGCTGATTTTTGAGGTTCTACCTCTTATAGCCAACCTTTCTCATAGTTTCCTTTAACCAGATTTCTAGAGGCTAATGGCTGGTCATAGTGTGTCAATCACTTCGGACTTCTTGACTTGCATTTTATAGTTTATGGCAAGAAATTCTTGATCATGATGACAATGGCATGACATTTATACAGTGCATATGTGTGAGCTTCTTACTCTCTAAGACTGGTTATCCTGTGTGTGCTCTTGGTTTTCTAACCAGCCTGACTGTTTATTCCTTATATTTATTTTCACAGGCTGACTGTAGTTTTTCTGGCATTTGATGTATTCTTCGCCATCTTTTGTGTGGGTTTGGCCTGTGTGATTGGAATTGCACTCTGTTGTTGCTTGCCTTGCATTATTGCGATTCTTTATGCTGTTGCAGGCCAGGTAAGATTTTATGTTTTATCAGATATAAATGATAGGTTTAATTGCACTTAGACACCCTGTAGTATCACTGTTTTCAACTTACTCCTGTGTATTTTAATGGTTGCAGATAGAACCCCTAGGCTAACTTTTTCCGACTCTTTTAATTGTGGCAGATATTGCCCCTGAGTGAAACTATTGAGTCTACTTAAGGGTTAAAGGAATCAAAAATTTGGTTCTATCTGCAACAGTAAAACTGCTAGGTAATAAATTCAAAACAACAAAACTACTAGGGGTAATATGTGCAATTAACCCAAAAAAACAAATATGCTCGTGTTACAGTCATAAAGTTTATTGTCTTTTCTATTTACTGTTTTTGCCATCAACTGGTAGGAAGGTGCATCTGATGCTGATATCAGCATGCTTCCGAGATATAGATACATTGAGCCTTGCGAGGATGAGGAAAAAGTATCTGTAGAAGGGCTAATGATTCCAGTTACAAGTAACGGTGGAAGTTCATCACATGAAGGGGTTCTCTTAAAGGAGGATGCCGTAAGTATAAACTCGTCATAATTCCAACTACTACCTATTGCTATTGATGTTTTCTTCGCCCACAAATTGATAGACTGTTTATCTCCTGCTAACAAAATGATTTGTCGCAAATTAGCTAGAAACATAGGATGAGGTTATATGATATATGTAAATGTAAAAGATAATATGGCTTATTTGCTTAAAACATCCTTAATTTAAAAGATTGTCGCAAGTATCTAGTTAACAGTTGTGTAATTATTTTAGTTTCAGTAAATTCCCATGAGTTTTAGTGATAAACATGTATGCCCTGTTAATCTAACACATCTTTAGGTCTGTTAGTTGCTCATATATTGTTGAACAACACAATTGTACATCGTCTCATAGTTATGCAAAGTTCTTCTTGACTTCTATAAAGATCACTGTCACCATCATATTTTTCACAATTGAATGTCATCATAACATCGATCTTGCCATAAATTGCGAGACCATTGGTAGGGGATCATACCTTACTAGTTCTGTTCGTCAAGCTCATTTTACTTATGAGCAACCTCCAGGATTCTCTTAGAATACTTGAAATATTTATATAGATTATTAGGTAGTACATGGAGAAAAAATATCCTGACCATCTACTAGCAATATTATATAGCACGGATTACTAACAAATCAAGTTTTAAAATTATCTTTTAAATGTTTAACTGAGTTATACGCCGTCATAATTAAAGAGTTGAAATGCACATAGATTAAAGAATGTGATACTTGATGCTGACTTGTAATTTCATTATGTTCAGGAATGTTGTATTTGCCTTACACCATACGAAGATGGAGTGGAGCTCCATTCACTTCCCTGCAGCCATCATTTTCATTCTGCATGCATTGTGAAATGGCTAAGGATTAATGCTACCTGCCCGCTTTGCAAATACAACATTCTCAAGGGCAATGATTGTGTGTGAAAAATCATCATCATCAACTGAACTTGCTTCCCTTTTGCTAATTACTGTATTTCTTAGTAAAGGGGAAGGTATGAAATTGGAGCCAAGATAGATCAATGAATGGTGTTTATGCACATTTTCACAATACATCTGTTCTTCAATGTTACTGAGCTGACGTATGTATGAATGCGTTGTATAGATAATGTTAACATGTTTGTTGTACATTATGTATGTATAAAGATCGCTAGAGGTTTGTAAGTGCATTCTAGTTACCTGTTGCTCTTTATTGGTAGAGTTTATATCTTGTATTGGCTTTGGACTATCCTTTGATTTTTAGAAGGGAAAAATGTGTCCAGGTCCCAAAAGTGGGAACTTCGTGTGACTAGCCTCCCTGTACTTTGCCCCATGTGGAATAGCCCCAAAAAATGAGCTTTAATGTTTTAAGCCCCCTTCACGTCAGCTTTATACTAAAAGCAGATCGTATTTTGCAAAAAAATCGAAACTGCCCTTCTCTTTCTTCCCCAGACGAGTCCTGGTCCCGAACAACAGAAGTCACTTCTCATTAATGCGATATGATGGGGAAAATGGAGGGAAATCCCCCCCCCCTTTTACTCCATCTAACTAGTTAGTTCTCCATTACTCCTCCTCCTCAGACCAAAATTCTCTCCATAACTCTCTCCATTACTCTTACTATCCCTTCAAAATGGCTGAAAAAGACATCATCTGCATTGTCTCTTCGCAGTATAAAGCGGTATTCTTGAAGATTAATTCTTCAACCACCATCTTGGATCTCAAGTTTGATGCGGCAGAGAGGTTAGATCTTCCATACGAGTCATTAATTTTGGCATACGAAGATCAAACAGTTGGAAGCTTAAAATTTCTCATTGAGAACGATGGTGATCTGACGTCTATGGTGGAGCATTGCCACAATCTTGGACTGAAAGAGGTTCACGTGCAAGCTTTTAAAGAAGGAGATGATTCTTCGAATAAACAGGAAAACGAGCAAGTCCGACAAGACATGTAGGTTAACTGTAAAATCAATTAACTTAAGTTCTAATCGTCTTCTTGTTAGTTCTATACTAGGTTTAACTGGACTTCAGTTCTAATGTTTTATTTGTCATTAAGCAGTTCTTTGTTATGCTCCATACTAGAGTTCTAATGTTTTATTTGTCAGTTCTAATCGCTATTTTGTTAGTTCTACTAGAGTTATTGCTGGTTCCACTATAGTTCCCATATTGTTAGTCCTAATTGTTATAAATTAGATATAACGTGGTATAAATTAACGTGGTATAAATTAGACAATGTAGGTATAAAATAGAACTAACAAGCCATCAGTTAGAACTGACACTAACACACTACAGATTAGAACTAACACTGTGCATATTATTAGAACTAACACGCTACCGAATAGAACTAACACTGTAGGGGATTAGAACTAACACTCTACAGAATAGAACTAACACTGTGCAGATTAGAACTAACACTCTACAGAATAGAACTAACACTGTGCAGATTAGAACTAACACTCTACAGAATAGAACTAACACTGTGCAGATTAGAACTAACACTCTACAGAATAGAACTAACACTGTGCAGATTAGAACTAACACTCTACAGAATAGAACTAACATGTTATAATTTTGAAATAGCTTGTTATAAAATAGAAATAACTTCGTTAAATTAGAACTAACCTTTAATGGCTATATTGTTTGTTCTAATAGCTATTATGTCAGTTCTAATCAATGCACTGTTAGCTCTAATGGTTATATTGTTAGTTCTTTTAGTTCTAATTGATTCTAACAGCAAGCAATTGTCGTTTTTGCTTTTTAGCTTTTGCTATTATCTGTTGATACTTCTATTATTTGTGCAGTTTGAAATCAAAAAGTGTAGACTGTGGCCCGTCGGCGTTGTTGACCACAAGTGTTCCAGATAAGAATCCCAATGACAATCCTTCCGGAGATGATGTCATGACGATTGATGACATGATTAGCAGATCAGAGAGGATTCCTGCTTGGTGGCACACAGCTTTAACCGGTGAGGGACAACGATTTGAAAGTGCGAAGGAGTTAAGATTGGCCTTGCTATACTACTCCATGGCAAAAAAATTCGAATACGAGTTTGGGAAGAATGAACCGAAGCGTATTCGAGTGTTTTGTCGGTTTAAGGAAGCCAAAAATTGTCCGTGGATGTTATTTGCCTCTCCACCAAAAAATGATAATAGACTTGAAATCAAAAGGTTTGTGGACAATCACAGTTGTGGGCAGCATGATAATAATGTTGGTCAATCTAGAGCCTCAAGGCGATTCATTGCTACCCAATTACAACCCACGTTAAAGGTTCGACCGGATATACGGCCTATTGACGTTCAAAATGAGTTTCTAAGCTCGTATGGGATTAGGGTCGATTATAGTAAGATTTGGTGGGGTAAAGAAAGAGCACAAGAGAAATTATATGGTGATGCCCGTGAGTCCTACGATCAATTACGATGGTAAATAGAAGATGATATATAACAAAAGACAAACTAATTTCCTTTATGTGACGTTGATTATACTAATTTTTCAATGTTGGTACTAACGCTTAATCTTCAATTTTCTAGGTATGTAGAAGAGGTCAAGAAGACAAACCCAGGTAGCTATATTCATGTTGAACAAAATGAGGGGAGGTTTACAAGGTTATTCATATGCTACGCCGGGGTTCTGTAGGTTGTCTAAAAATCACAATAGATAGCTTATCCTCCATCAAACACCGATGATGGAAGTTACAATCTGACGACTTCCAGAAGGCTACAATTTGAAGACTTTCACGTAGATCGCTGAAGGTTACAATCTGACGACCTTCACGACAACCGATGAGAGCTCTAGTTCAACAGCATTCATAATCAACATCGGGAGTTACAATCTGACGACTCTCATATTCTCAAGGAGCCAAGACGAAGATTACAAGATAATGATCTTTGCAACGCTATGACAAAAGAGATTACTTTGTGATAATCTCTTTAAGACAGGACGCGGAGGTCCTCCCCGTGTGTTAACATCAAAACGCCGGGGTCGAACCCATGTTACAACATCAAAACGCTGGAGTCGATCCCACGTTATAACATCAAAACGCGAGGGTCGAACCCACGTTACAACATCAAAACGCCAGGGTCAAACCCGCGTTACAACATCAAAACGCTGGAGTCGATCCCGCGTTACAACATCAAAACGCGAGGGTCGAACCCACGTTACAACATCAAAACGCGGAGGCCCTCCCCGTATGTCAACATAAAAACGCTGGAGTCGGATCCGCGTTACAACAGCAAAACGACAGGGTCGAACCCGTGTTACAACATCAAAACGCTGGAGTCGATCCCACGTTATAACATCAAAACGCGAGGGTCGAACCCACGTTACAACATCAAAACGCCAGGGTCAAACCCGCGTTACAACATCAAAACGCTGGAGTCGATCCCGCGTTACAACATCAAAACGCGAGGGTCGAACCCACGTTACAACATCAAAACGCTGGAGTCGATCCCGCGTTACAACATCAAAACGCGAGGGTCGAACCCACATTACAACATCAAAACGCTGGAGTCGATCCCGCGTTACAACATCAAAACGCGAGGGTCGAACCCACGTTACAACATCAAAACGCCAGGGTCAAACCCGCGTTACAACATCAAAACGCTGGAGTCGGACCCGCGTTACAACAAGCGAAACGTGAGCGACCCTCGCGTTCTGGATGTTCAGTCAACACCCAACCTCGCGTCTCAATCCTAAGACGCGAGGTTAGGGTCCTGAACGCCAGGTTGGGCGTTTGACTCATTTAAATATGAGTCGAACGGTTTCAGAACCGTTTTCCCCACGATCTGAGGAAATCACGCCCACTTAGGAGCGGATTTAGAGGGCAGTTACACCCCCTTAATCCCCTATAAAAGCGAGTAAACTCAACTGAGTTCATGGTTGGAATTTCTTGGCTCAGATCGACGACTGAAGGTTGGCTTCTTTGGTCCGAAGTTCAAGGCTTTTTCGGGTTGGCTCTTTGGATCTGGGACTAGGCAGCAACAGGAAGGATCCTCGGGCAAGCTTTTGAGGAGATCAACGTCATCCTCCAACGAAGATCATCTTCAACGTTGGGCAACGAGGAGCTTCTTCATCCTTGGCTTATAACCGATCATCCTCCAACGAAGATCATCTTCAACGTTGGGCAACGAGGAGCTTCTTCATCCTTGGCTTATAACCGACATTCGGTTAAATCAACTCTTTTTCAAGAGTTCAAACTCGTTCAGAGTTATCAACTCGTCCAGAGTTCTAAAACTTGACACACAAGTTCTCCATAACGTCAAATCGTGAGGAGAAGACATCGTTCTAGTGAAGCAAAACGTCGGATCGTCAACGGAGAGCAAATTCGACGCGAGCAATCGAAGGAGGCATTCCATCGCTACCGAGAAGAACCCAGTTTTAAACAAAGGAGAGAATCAAATTCGTTCTCTTCTCTTTTGTAATCAAATTGTAATCAGAATCAAAGGAATACAAGGTTATGATAATTCTAGCTCATTCATTGCTAACTCTAATTCGTGTATGGTAACCACAACTCTTTGTAGGTTTGTGGTCTATTCTCTATGAAAGGCCAGATCCATACAACCCTCCACACAAGCTAGTGATAATTTCAGATGCGGATAAGGGGATCAGAGAAGCAGTTAGAGAATTTTTTCCAGATTCTATACACTCTCGATGTGTGTTGCATCTAGTTGAGAACTTCAGGACAAAGTTGAAGGATTTGGGATTCAAATCAAAAGATACTCAGATCTTGGGTAATCTATTGCAATCTGCCTGTTACAAATATACTAGAGCAGAATGGAACGATTACATGGACGACATTAGACTGGTTGACGAAAGAGCTTACAATATTGTGATGAACTACGCTCCAGAAAACTGGGCCAATGCGTTTTTCCCTGGAGTTAGGTAAGTTATAAGCTATTTCATTACATGACTATTATAAGCCGCTTGACGAATTCCCTATTATGTTTCAGATATGGTCACGTTACATCAAATGTTGCAGAGTCATTCAACAAATGGATACATGAGGCTAGGCTACTACGGATACTTCAACTGGTAGAGCACATACGTAAACAGATTATGGTTCGTATGAATGAGCGACGAACCATGGCTGAAAGCTGGAATCAATTTCTTTGCTCCAAAGCTGAACTTGCTATCAAAGAGAACATGGAAAATGGCCGTCCATTGGAGGTTCGTCAGTCCCACACAGGATTATTTGAGGTACAATCCCATAGATCTTGTCAAGTGGATATAGACAATAAAACATGC